AGAGAGAGAGAGAGAGAGAGAGAGAGAGAGAGAGAGAGAGAGAGAGAGAGAGACTAAAACAAAAAACACGATGAAGACACGATACAAAGGTGAGAAATAAAGTTTTAAAAATACATCCAGTATGTGTGTTCATTGTATTACGAGATGATAAAATACATATCTGTGTATAGGGGGATAGAACCGTAATAAAAGCGACCCATGTATTTCCTTGTTCTAAAGAGGGGGTCATTTAAGAGGGGTCATACTGTTTAATTATAATACACCTGATTGGGTTTTTAATTAAGGTATAGTGTAGAACAATAGTGTTTTCTTGTGTATAAAGATTAGTGGACATTCAGCCTTAAGTACACGATGTCCCTCAGGCCCAGAAGTGTGTCCTGATTTATTAAACAAGGGGTGGTAGACAGATACCAGACCGACTCCTTGACATTCTACAAAATCACCCACCAAACCCATCCCTCCTCTGTCCGTCTGTCCGTCCGTCGAGACTCCTACGGGACAACATAACACAACACGACACTACGCAACGCAACGCAATACAGCACGACACAACGCAACACAAGGTAACACAACACCCACCGTCTCTTGTGAACTGCCTCTCACTCTACTTCACCTGTCGGAATTACATCACTTTACCTGAACTCTGTACTGCTGTCTGAATTTGTATTTCCTCCTAAAATTTGTGATATCCAGTAATTGCGAGAAAAAAAAAGAATAAGCATACAGTATACGCTCACTGGTAACAGACAATCAAAATTGCGTTTTTTAAGAGGAAAGACTAACATGGCAAAAATGACATAACCGTAGCGCAATAATCTGCTTTTATCCTGAGCCATTTTAACCCCCCACGTCGACCTTTAAATATTTTACTCTGTGTTATAAACGTAAAAGTGAAAAATATATATCCACGTTACATTTCGCACTGATAAATCCTCTGTGAATTTATATATATATCAAATATTTTGTTATGGCGGAACACACCCAAACTTGGTATTCTGGGATGGTTGTGTGGGTGATCACTGCAAAAAGTAACTTACTAACAATACCAAGGATTGTACCTGGATATATAGCACACAGGTGGTTTATATACATACATATATTAGTAATGACAATGAATAGGAAAAATGGTATTGATAATAATGAATATAAAGATGTTAATGAGGATATTTCTACTACTACTACTACTACTACTACTACTACTACTACTACTTTTTTTTTTTTTTTACGTGGCCTCCAGCCTCCCCCAATAGCCACACCTTCGCCACCATTTATTTACCTTAATATTAACTATCCTAATACATAAGCAACTATCCTATCTGTGTTAAATTAGTTGAGCCGCAGATCGATGCGGCATTCGGTGACTGTAGCCTCATAGTCGATATCTGCAGCAGTTGACGGAGTAGGGGCAGAAGCTCTCGTTCCCCTGAGGCAGAGCAAAGCCGACCGAAGGAGAGAGAAGGACAGTCGACATCTCATCCAGGCTGTGACATAACTTCTGGGCTGCTGCTTCTGTTCGGAGATCAGCTCCGCGAGTCTGGCGTAGAAACATCTTGCGCTTGGGCCCATCCCACCAGAGGTTGTGAACACTAGCGGAGTGAAGCTGCCTTGATCGACATTTTGAATTCTCTCCCCATATGCCCTTCTCTTGTCGTTCTCGTTCCTCCTATGTGCAGCATCGAGAGCTAGGTTACGGTGACAAACGGCCATGGGATCAAAAATCCTGATGTCGAAGAAGGCTCGCTGTCCCCGCGTCCAGAATCCTCGAGCACTGACGTCCACACGGGCTTCGTTAGATGTGTTTGAAGTCCTGTGTTGGAGGATCTCGCCATCCAGTGGAAGGAGGGTCGGTTCTACCATGACGTCCCGGCAGGTTTCCTTCAACATATTTGCTGTGAGATCCCTTACCTCGTCATGCCTCATGCATATGAAGCCCCCCTTCTTGCAAACCATGGCGTGATCGCCATCATAGGAATAGCCACACACGCATTGGGAGGGCAAACCATCTACTGGCCAACCGTACCTTAGAGCAATGGCATCTGTAAATTCTTGTTTGTTAAGGCTGAAACCATTTGCCCTTATCGGTAACGTAGTTAACCAGTTCGAGGCGCCCACCTCCTGCGCTATAGCTACTTTTTTTGTCAAATTTTCTGGAACCTGCAGCAATAGTTGCTGCAACATGTCATTTTGGCAGTGCTGCCGATCTGTTGTAATGGATCTACGGATCTTATTAACTTCGCTGGTGTCCACTTCCCCTGTTGCATTCTGGGCTATTATGTGGTCAGTGAGGGCTGCCGTGAGCTTAAGTGAATTTTGATGTTCAGAGTCAGCAATCTCCTCTGGATTAGTTAGTCCCATCCCTCCCAGTCTTGGTGGAAGTGCAAGAAGTGTTCTTTCTACTGGGGTTAAGTCGTGGTGTTTCACTAGTTTGGGAATGAACTTGACACTGATTGCTTCTTCCAAAGGGTGGAGGAGGGGTCGGATCTCAGGGATGGTACGCATCAGGTAGTTCCAACGATGCTTGACTCCATGTGTGAATGCTGCAAAGGCCGCATGTGGCTCTGTGTTAGCAATCTCCGATAGAGCATGGATTTCGCTAACCCACTCGTTCACCTTTCCCCCTACGTACTGGGTCTTGAAGTCCGTAGTGCCAATTACTGCGCCTAGATGTCTTTGGCCGTCCTTAGTTATTTTGACCTCACTTTCGCCGAAAACCTCCACAGCCCGATCATAATGATCTGGCTTCACGATGAGGAAGGATTTGCTGGCGTTTGGGTGGTACCCTATTTGTGGACCTCGCGATGTTACCAGGTCCCACCACTTTTTGATGTCCTCCACTTTTCCTGCTCCTGTGAGGTCATCAGCATATGCCACTTGTTTGACCCCAGTTGTTTCATACTTTATTTCTTGTTGGAGCACTGATAGGCCTATTGCATACATTGCCATTGCAACGGGGTCTCCCTGTGTTGTTCCCTCGGTCGACTGTAGGATGGTATCACCTCGTAGAGCCTTGTTGTTTACTACGTAGAGGTCTGAAGGATTCCTATACGAATTTTCAACATACATCGCAAAGCTAGGACACTTGATCTTGATGTTGTGCAGTGCCGCCTTGCGGTTAAGTATGTTGAATGCGTTTGAAGCATCCACCAGGAGAACGGCCTCACAATCACGCTGCTCAAATATCAATCTCATGGCGTGAATGGCCGCCTCCCCACCAGCCTGGTGGCCAGCACACACTTGTAGGTTCCCTGCTGCTGCCCTGACATCATCCTTTACCACCTCCATTATACACTTTCCGATGATCCGCCTCAGCACTTCCCCCACCCCTATAGGTCTACATCCTGGTTTCTTTTCCAGAGGAATAAGGCGGCAGGCCGTCAGAGCCTGGAGGTGATGGCAGCAAGAGGATGCAAGCTTTCTTGCAAGGGTGGCAATGGCAGTGCAGAGATCGCTTGCTACAGGGCCAAACTTGTTTGTGCTGAGGATGACTCTCCAACCGTTTGCATCCAGACCTGAAGGGCCGGCTCCGCCTCGAGTCTTCAGTGCCTTTTTCCACACCATCTCTCCTGTTATTTTCTCGAACAGGACAGCGTTTGGTGGGATATAAGCACCCTGGAGCCTGATGCCTTCATCTTCGCTTGCAGGGGGATGTTTCTCTTTCAATAGTTTTAATGTCGCTCTGTTTATTGGCATCACTCCACCGGAGGATTCATGTGTGAGAGATCTTACCGCGAGAGACACTTTTCCCACACGCATTTTGTTTCCAAATTTTCTTGCCACGTCATCGGTGTTTTGCTTTCCGTCACCCGTAGATTTTAGTCTCTCCTGCAGTGTTCTTGCTTCACATAGGAGATCATCTAGGGCCCCAGTCTGCCACATTGTCAACCTTCTCTTCATTGCTGCCACATTTTCTTTGTGCTTAGCCTTTGTGTGTGTCCTCTGACAAAATAGATGTGGTATTATTGCCAGTATTTGAAGAGCTAGGGGGGCGAGGAAGCGGTCCTGAGTGTAATCAGTCATGAAGTGAGTCATCTCCCGAATCATTTCTTTGGTGGCCGCACACTTGGGTGGTTCAAATAAGTTAGCGGGCGACCACTTGACAATTTCTGAGTAGGTTTCTTTGACCCATACGCCTGCATTTTCCATCGACATGCCATTCCACTGAGGCGGCTGTCTCTCATTCTCCTCGTGGACACCTGCTACTGAGGGAGCAGCATTTATTAGTACTACATTATCGGGTTGAGTAGACTCACTGCTATCATTTCGGATATCATCGGGTAGTTGGGTCCCGGCGATATCCACTGTGGCCGCCTGTGTCGGCTCCCTGCGACGTGGGTTCCGACACTGGTCTAGCTTCCTGCAATTCACACATGGTCGGTTATTTCTCGCACAAACACAATTTGTGCAGTTTTGGTTCGGGCTAGCACAGACGCAGCAAGGAATGTTACCAGGCATAGTGACCAGCACCTTGGGCGACGGTAACGTCCGCCTCCGGACATCTGATTTAGTCCCAGGCACAAGATTATACTGGTTCTTATGAGGGAAGGGCGGAGAGGTGACAGGCTGGACTGGTGTGTCCAGGTAGTAGGGGCATACGTGCGCGCGTGGGTGTGTAGGTTACCCCCCCTAATAGCGACCATCCATACATCAGAATGATACACTATGGACAAGAGTTTGTCACACCAGGCACTAGTTTATATTTCCTTGGCACAAATAACCACTATTTATATGGTCTCACTGGTGTAATATCAGTTATGTATACTCACTAGGTTCGTCGAGACCCTACATTAAGAGTCCGTTACTATGGTGGTGGGGGGGTGGGGGCGACCGCATGGGCAGCACTCTCGGCCCCATAGGGGCGATAGTCTCGGGACCACCCCTGTCACAGTAGGCCTAACGACACTGACCTTGGCGCCGAGCCTTCTCATTATCCTACCACTGACCCAGCACAGGTCACCACTCACTACTACTACTACTACTACTATTAATAATGATATACTCACGAAGGACGTCCAAAACAATGTCTTCGTGTACGGGGTCATCGAGGCCGTTCCCTGCAGTACACACGAATAGTCTCTTGTCGTCGTCAGCTGTCGTCTCCAACTTTAGTTCAGACCTGTGGGGGAAGAACGGCGGAACGTGAGGGCGTGTCTTAAGGGTTAGACCTAACAGAAAACAGGGCAAAGGAACGTGAGGAGGGATTCTTCAGACTTGGGGGGGGGGGATGTTTAGGAAAATGTTATTAAGGTTTTAAATTGATCTGACCTGGAGGAAAAGAGAACTGAATGTAAGGGCGTGACCTGTGGAGGGACGATATGAACTGGAGAGAAGAACGGAGGAACGAGAGGACATGCATGAACCTGTATCGTGAGGAACGTGAGGGTTAGTCGAGAGGAAGAAGAACGATGAATCCTGACACATGACGAAAGGACAATGGAAGGTGAAGGGGCAGAACGGTAGAACATAAAACGTAATATACCTGGATTAAAAAAAAAGTCAACAGAACGTAAAATGAAGGTCGGTTCGAAAATAAATCGAATATTATGGGACAAACAATAGTAACTTCTAAAAGACCAAGTAACATCACCACATACTATAGACAAACGTGATGAGCTGACTGGCCTATAGTGAGCATAAGACTTCAAAGAGCTGGAGGGAGAAAAGGCGAAGGAGGAAAATCAAGAGAAGCCTGACCAGATGAGGAACATAAGCCTCTAACCTCTCAGGGATTGCATCAAGGTGAGCTGCATGTGAACGAGGCAGAAATCCTCCATCCATCACACAGTAATCCTACCTATCAACAACACCATCGTCCGGGATGCTGATCCATCAAAAAGTGTGAGAGAGAGAGAGAGAGACAGAGACAGACAGACTGGCAGGTAGGTAGAGAGAGACAGACAGACGGAGAGAGACAGACAGGCGGATAGGCAGGCAGGAAGGCAGGCACGCAGGCAGGCAGGAAGAAGGCAGACAGATAGGCAGGCAGGTAGACAGACGGACAGACAGAAGACAGGCAGACAGACTGGCAGGGAGAGAGAGAGAGAGAGATGGCAGACAGACAGAGAATTCCATTTTCTAGCCTGGATGAAACTCCCCTTAAGAATGTCTTCATTACGTTTCCAACATTCCTCCAAGATGATGGGTTCTGGTAGGAGCGTCTCCCCTCACCTCTCTTCTCGAGGGTGTTGATCTTTGGTGCCAAACGATCGACTGCTATACCCTCACCCCTCCTCCCCCCGTCCCCCGTCCGTTAACACACCTCCTCCCACCTGTCCCATTACCACGCCTCGCCATTCACAAAAGTTCTCCCCCTCAATTCTCGCTTCATTCACAAGGGCGTCGGGGTTCGTACACTCCAAGCGTTGTCACAAGATCAGCTGACACACACACACACACACACTTACACACGGTGACGGGTCGTGTTTGTCGTCACTGATTAATTATCTTCTTACACAAGGACACGACAACCTAATGCGATTTATGAAGTTGTTGTTTTTAAGTTAGTTATGATATGCGTCCTCGGTACACTAGCTATGATTTTTCACCCCTCTGAGTATGCATATCACATGACACTTGTAAGACCCTAGTGACAGTCTTCTTCTGTAAGTATAAACCTGAACTAAGGATCTCTGTGACGTGTAAACCCCATAGGATATCCTTCGCCCTTTGATCTGTTCTCCTCCATCTTAGGATCTCATTGCAGTTTAAACCAGGTGATCCGCCAGGCTCTCCTAGGGGCTGATGATATCGCTGCGCTCTCAGTTAACTTAAGATTTGGCGGGATTGTGTAATTCTTTCTCTCTCATGATGAATAACTTTACTGTTTCGGGTACAACGTGACAATGAGTTAAAGACGATGAATGACTTAGGAAGAATAGAATAAAATAGAGCAAAAGACAACGTGATAGTTAAACCTGAATTAAAAAGATGAATAAAGCAGACAAATGAGAGAGAGAGAGAGAGAGAGAGAGAGAGAGAGAGAGAGAGAGAGAGAGAGAGAGAGAGAGAGAGAGAGAGAGAGAGAGAGAGAGAGAGAGAGAGAGAGAGAGAGAGAGAGAGAGAGAGAGAGAGAGAGAGAGAGAGAGAGAGAGAGAGAGAGAGAGAGAGAGAGAGAGTGTGTGTTTTAGCTTCGTAGCCTACGTGAGTAAATAAAGAAATGAAAAAAAAATTATCCCATTCAGTTTTTTTCACACCTAACATTAACTTAACCCTTTTAAAAAATTCTATTACCTCCACGTAAGAAAGGACCTGACAACTCGTCTTATTCACTCGAGTATCCCTCTCAAGTACGCGGTCGTGTTACCTTAAGAAACACTCCAGAACTTGGAGCTTCATATGCCTCCTCCAAACAGTTTTGTACAACGCTTAAGAAACACGACATACTGTAAATACTCCCCTACGGATTTTTATTTTATTTATTTTTTATTTCGTTCTAAAAGGTAGTATTCTCAGTATTAATTTTCCCATATGCATTTTATTTAACATTTTGTGGTCGCTCCAAAAAATATATATATCTAGCTAAAGTTGATGATTTCCAACAATATTCTATTTTCTTTCCTTGTATTGGTGTCTTCAAAAGCGTCCTTGGAGGTAGCAATATATCCCCCTCCCTCCTTCCCTCCAAGCCCTCTTTACCCACTTCGTCACAGTCCTGCAAAAAAACTCTCCCTGGAGTGGATAATTGTCCCCAGTCCTATCCACTTACCTTATCTCGCGGCCTCTCCAGAAACACACATACGGAATTACAACCTCCCCAAATATACTTACTATTTAATTAGATCTGTAGGTGAAAATATCTCTTAGATCCTCACTACTTACGACGATTTGTTACTAGGAACCTTAAGATAATATACTTTATCTTTAGGTATAATTTCATGTGTGTGGAGATAGCAACATAATTGGTTTTTTTTTAATCTGAGTATAAAGGAGACATTAGTTACGTGTTTATGGGATGAAAAATATAACTAGATTCATGTCAGCTTGCTACCTCTAACGTAACAGCTTGCTACCTCTAACGTAACTCCTATATGATAGAAAGTCATCTATTTTGGGTTAAATATTCCTCTCCTCTCCCCCCCCAAAAAAGTTTGATTTTATTTTTTGTTTTATAGCAACATGGTTAATGTATCCTATGCACACACAAGTTCAAAAATTCAATAAAAACATCACACCCTCTTTTAACCCAGTGACGTGCTCCCTTCCATAGTAGAGACCTAACCTAACCTAACCTAACCTAACTAACCCAGTGATGTGCTCCCTTCCATAGTACAGACCTAACTTAACCTAACCTAAACACCTTCCTTCACAGCCTCATTACACACCTTGTTTTGGTGCCACCGAAAGCGCCCCTGGAGGTGAAGATGTCAGCGGTCTCCATAACGACGCCCTCGGAGGTCCACGTGATGTTGGAGGGCGGGAGACTCGAGGACGACTCACACGAGAGACTCACCAATTGCCCCTCCTCCACCGTGCTGGGTGTGGCTGACCCTCGCACCTCCCATGGCGCGACTGTTGGGCAAGAGAAGGACAAGAGTGAATCGGGTGTGTATAAGAGAAGGGCAAGAGTGAGTCGGGGTATGTATAATGAAGGGCAAGAGCTAGAAGGGTTTTATATAGAAGGGCAAGAGCTAGAAGGGTTTTATATAGAAGGGCAAGAACTAGAAGGGATTATATAGAAGGGCAAGAACTAGAAGGGGTTATATACAGAAGGGCAAGAACTAGAAGGGGTTTTATACAGAAGGGCAAGAACTAGAAGGGGTTTTATACAGAAGGGCAAGAACAAGAAGGGGTTATATAGGAGAAGTGCAAGAATTGGAAAAGTTTGTATCAAAGAAGAGTGTGAAGCGGAACGTACGTATGAGAAAAAAAAAGGTTCAAGAAAGGGAGAGAGAGAGAGAGAGAGAGAGAGAGAGAGAGAGAGAGAGAGAGAGAAGAGGTATTTACGCAAGCCAAGAAAAAGGCGAGTGAAAGGGATGAGAGTAGGAAGGAGTAAGAGAAGGAGAGGTAAAGAAGGAAGAAGTGAGAGAGGAACGAGAGGAAGGAAGGAGAAGTGACATAACGAGGGGAAGGGGAGGAGGAGAATAGGAGATGACGAGGGAAGGAAGGGAAGTGAGAGATAACGAGGGGAAGGGGATAAGTGAGAGATAATGAGGGGAAGGAGGAGAAGTGAGAGATAATGAGGAAAAGTTTTAGGAAGAGACATCAAAAAATCGTTTGGAAGAGAAAGGGAAGATATTAATTAAAGTTTGTAAAGTATAGTCAAGTGTGTGACAGAGAGAGAGAGAGAGAGAGAGAGAGAGAGAGAGAGAGAGAGAGAGAGAGAGAGAGAGAGAGAGAGAGAGAGAGAGAGAGAGAGAGAGAGAGAGAGAGAGAGAGAGAGAGAGAGAGAGAGAGAGAGAGATATTGAATAAGCGACAGATGAAAAAAGAAAGCAATAGAGCCACAACTAAAGAAGAACAAAGATAAATATATAACAAAACAAGACAAAAAAAAAGAAATATTCTGTATAAGGGGGAAATTAATAACACTATCTCAATTATTAGATCAATATACAGTATATCCCCTTAGTCTTAAGATATCACGACCCGGATGTATTATGTGCACTTTCAGTTCAGCCTTTGTTTCAACACACACACACACACACACACACACACACACACACACACACACACACACACACACACACACACACACACACACACACACACACACACACACACACACACACGGATGGATGTAAGTGACAGACCTGCTGCCTCACAATACAACTATATATCAAAGGTTCAAGAACTACACGTCACTGTCACTGAAGCTTGTATGTCTCCAGCAACAAGTCGAGGGCCCTGCTGTGTGAGTGTGTGTGTATGTGCATATGTGTGTAAGGGGGAGAAAGATGGAGTGGCAGTGAGAGGAGGATGGAGTGGGAGTGAGAGGGAGAAGGAGGGAGTGAGTGGGTCCGAGGGCAGTATATAAACCTTCAATTTTGATGAATTGGTTTTGTATCGTGGTGGTGCAGTCCTCACAATACAGGCTGCATCCCTTGTTTTTCCTCTTTTTTCCTCTTTTTTTTCCCCCATCAGAGACCTTTGTGTAGTGTGTGGGGATAGTATACACACACGCGAAAATCCCTCCTGGAATGTTATAATCGGCAGCTCGACATGTTGACTTACTGTATATATATCACAAGTATTGTTCTGTATAATCCTTAGGTATATAATGGTCTGTCTTTGCTGTTCTGTTATTGTCGGTGAAGTACATCTGAAAGGCATTAGTTTCCAGGATTTTTAATCTAAGGAGGAAAATGTGATTTGTTCTTTTGTATGAACGTTCCTGGAATCTCTGGCTGGAAGCTTTTTTGGAGATTGAGTGAGACATAAATTTCAACGTGGAGCCTGGAAAACTAACTATTCAGAGCAATACAATATACAATGTCTCCTTTCAGTAATACTTGTTGGCGTGTTATGTCTCACCGTGTATTAACAGAAAGATTTAACAAGCCGAATAACACAAAGGTATTTATGGGGGAATAAACACAAAATATATATATATATTATTCTTCGGGGGGCAAGATAATGGTCTAACACAGTGTCTTATTCTTAGTGTCTGGAGAGGAAATTCGTAGAGCGGAAGTTTGATGAAGAAGCTGACGTAAATTTTTCACAGACTCACAGTGAGATCAAAGTTTATATGTTTTTAGCGCGACACCGGACCATCTATGATGATTATTTTCTTACTAAAGCAACTTGTACTAGAGTCAACTGGTAGAATAACTGTTCTGGCCAGTCACTCTCTCAGTCTACACTATCTTTGAGCGATATATATATATATAATAGACAAACTTCCATAACTATTGCTCTTTTATACCACTGTTTCATCTTATCTACTCATACAATACAATACCATGTCTGAGTTCACCCATTGACGTAATTTTCATCTTAATCCACACGATCTAATTTCTCAGTATACACAAGTGGCAGCTATTTGTATTACGACCAAAACATTCAAATTAATTCCTCCAAATATTTTTTTTACGTGTCGTTTCAAAAGTAATTAACTATACATAAACACACAGAGACGACCACTGAATGGACTATTGAAGACGATCAGACATGCGGCCACCCCTCACGCCCAGGAGGCAACAATACACGTGAGGTATATATATATAGACTTGTGTTGGTAGATGACGGTGCGTGTTCTCTAGCCATAACTTAGGAAGAACACCTTATATAGCTCCTCACCTGAAGACCTGAACAAGATTTACTCCACTTCAGAAGATAATAATCGTCCGTTTTGATATATCAGATAAAGGAAGACAATGTTTTCTTCTATTGTTAAAAAAAAAAATATTGTAAACCGACCCAAAGCTATCAATTTGTTTTAGTATTTTCATTAACAATTAACTCATAAACTTAAATCGACTTTCTTGTGATTACACTTCCATGCCCTTGATAATGTGGTGGTTAGCGAATCAACCTACTACTCTAGAGACCCAGGTTCGATCCTTGGTCACGAAAAGGGGGGTTTCCATTTGAGTTTTGGTCAAATAATGTGAGTAAAATAACCTGACCCCTTAAACCTATACTGAGGGCACCTGCCCTGAGCTGACCTACCTTATGATGAGGAAGTGTAATACCTTGTCGTGACAAACCAAACATTCCTCCTCAAAAATACCATTGCTTATGTGACTGGTCTTGTGTCCCATAGGTGTAATATCCACCAATCTAACCTAACCTAATGGCCTCCAGTCCACATAACGGGAGCCAATTCTAACGATTGTGAGTAGCATGGGAGCTGCTACACGATATGGTATACCTAACACTGCTCCATGTTGGTAGTAGCCTTCTCCAGCTCACATGAAAACACGTAGAGTTAAATATGGTTTCTTACACAAATAACAAAATGTATAATCAACAAACGCAAAATTCAATGAAGACAATTAATAAAACCCGGTAACACCCATAAACAATCCATTAAAACTCATGTAAAGTGAAAAGAAATATAATTATCATCTAGTTATCTAGTAAGTGAAATTAACCATCACTGATTAACTTTGTCAATACAACAACTATGAAGTCTCGAGCTTACAATCTTTACAGTCACTCAAAAAACTATCGTTACTTGGGGTGATCGATAAATTTCAGAATGAACAATACGACTCCTTTTTTGTCTCGGTAGGGTTGTCAAAATCCTTCGTCAGTTGTGTCATATTTTTTCAACACAATTTTGTATAGATAATTTTTTGAATGACTGTACATAGACCAGAGTGTTACAACTATTGGAAAAAATGTCATGAAGAGTTAGGTATACAGATGACCGATTTTAGCCTATTCTAACAGCCTAGTTGGGTCGTTAGCGCTGATTGAAAATATACAAAGATGGAGAGTTAGCTATATATATATATATATATATATATATATATATATATATATATATATATATATATATATATATATATATATATATATATATATATATATATATATATATATATATATATATATATATATAGTCAGTTTATTCTAAAAAATAGACAGAATTAGGAAGATAAATGGACAGTTATAGCTTATTCTAACAATAGACATACAGACTTTTATAGCCGATTCTAACAAGAGACAGAGGCAGGTGTAGCTGATTCTAACAACAGACAGAGAGAGACAGATAAAGCTGATTCTAACAACAGACAGAGAGAGACAGATAAAGCTGATTCGAACAACAGACAGTTTTAGCAGACTAACTAAAGACAGAGATAGAAGGATAGCTGATGTATTAAAACTGAACCCAAGATCGAGAAAAAGATTGTTGACCTATATCACACCAGTCGTTAACCGTGACTAACGAGGAGTAATGGTTAGGTTAGGTTAGGTTAGGTTAGGTTAGGGACGATGAACATGGATGGTGCAGGCGCGAACACCACGTAGCTCCCCCCAGCTGTCCCAATTACTGTGGGATTTCCGTGAGACTGGTAATGATATGACGCCAAACTCCCTTGTTGCCTTCTGTGTGTGCGTGCATGCTTGTGCGTGTGCGTGTGTGTGTATGTATGTGTGTGTCTGTATGTGTCTGTGTGTGTGTGTGTGTGTGTTGCCTTGTGATAATGACAGTAATAATAATTTCTCACCTATTCCTTCCAAAAACTCAGCACACATTCTATAGAGATTCTCACATCATTACGTTCAGTTACAGACAAAATTTCCTGAACACTTGGCATCAACTTGTGGGTTCTTTATATTTATGACTGGTTTATATATTTAATAACGCTGCTTTTCATTACAAGTTATAACTCACCCACAACATGGAAAATGAAAACGCTCTCTGTTGAAAAGAAAAAATCTAAGTAAACTCGTTATATTTTCATCCCCCCTCTCCTTAAGTACTTTACATGCCAGATACAGCTAAGTGTCCGGGTATTTATGTCCAAAGTGTCCAGGTAATTATGTCCAAAGTGTCCAGGTAATTATGTCCAAAGTATCCAGGTAATTATGTCCAAAGTATCCAGGTAATTATGTCCAAAGTATCCAGGTAATTATGTCCAAAGTATCCAGGTAATTATGTCCAAAGTATCCAGGTAATTATGTCCAAAGTGTCCAGGTAATTATGTCCAAAGTATCCAGGTAATTATGTCCAAAGTATCCAGGTAATTATGTCCAAAGTATCCAGGTAATTATGTCCAAAGTATCCAGGTAATTATGTCCAAAGTATCCAGGTAATTATGTCCAAAGTATCCAGGTAATTATGTCCAAAGTATCCGGGTAATTATGTCCACAACTGAATATGATATTAAGTAGCGGGTCTCGTAACCTAGCCAGCCCATTAGAGTTCCTGTAGACTTAAGGCAAGTAGCTCCTTCACTTTCCACAACTATAAAGTTAAGCGCCCATTCACAACTGGGTAAAATGGAGGTATCTTGGGCGCGAACCAGTGACCCTTAGGACATAAGACAAGACCTGTATCCACTCAGCCACCGCACCTCATATTGCAATTGTAAAAAAAAGCAGATGTAGAGATCAGAATTTCTAGAGTAAATAGTTGACCACCATTGAAACTCTATAACCTAACCTAACCTAACCTAACCTAACCTAACCTAACCTAACCAAACCAAACCAAACGACTCGAATCATTATAGTTGA